ACACACACACACACTTCAATTGAATCAACTATTTTGCATGTCTCCTTGGATTTTCATGTAATGTTAATAATTATTTTTTTCTTATTCTTATTCCATAAGATGGCAGTACAGCACACAGTTTGTTAAACAAATGCTCAGTTGCTGGGAAGCCCTGAGCTGACAGGCTGAATAAGATCTTGTAATGCATAGCACTCAATTGATAATTGATTGGTAATTTATAATTAATTAAGTTATAGAATATTAGCTACACATTTGAGGTGCATCTGTATGTTATATTAATTTACATTTGCTGACAACTGGCCCACTTTGGGTAAAGTGCTAAATAATAAAATTAGTAAAGTACATTCTACATTGAAAGGCCATAACAAAAAGTTGAGGTTTTTACAGGTTTATACTATAATTTGCTTTATATTTTATAATTTGTTTTAAAATTGGGTAAATAAAAAGACAATATATGAATTACTGTAAAACATTGTTAAAATTGTGATTTTTTTTTTTTGAGTGAGGAGTATGAATTAAGTTTTTAAAGTTTTTTTTATAGTACCATATTCCTTGAATGACATGAATTTATAAATGTAAAACATTTATAATATAAATCAGCTTAATTAATGGGCATTTTCAGAATTCTCTCTTTCTCTCTTTTTTACATTTGATCTTATTTATAATATAATCTTGCATTATAGTCCTCCACGTCCACTGCGTTCTCAAAACCCTGGCAATTTGATAATACCTAGAATATCAAAATCAACTGCGGGCGGCAGATCCTTTTCCTATTTAGCGCCAAAATTCTGGAATAATCTACCTAACATTGTTCGGGAGGCAGACACACTCTGTCAGTTTAAATCTAGATTAAAGACCCATCTCTTTATCCTGGCTTACACATAACACACTAACACATTTCTAATATTCAAATCCATTAAAGGATTGTTAGGCTGCATTAATTAGGTCAGCCGGAACCGGGAACACTTCCCATAACACCCGATGTACTTGTTACATCGATAGAAGAATGGCGTTCATCTACGCTAATATTAGTCTGTTTCTTTCTTATTCCGAGGTCACCGTAGCCACCAGATCCAGTCTGTATCCAGATCAGATGGTTGCTGCAGTCACCCAGATCCAGTCCGTATCCAGCCCAGATGGTGGATCAGGACCTAGAGATGACCTCTACAGCCCTGAATGTCAGCGGAGATCAGGACAACTATAAGCCCCAGAGACAGATCCCCAGTGAAGACCTTGTCTCCTAGACGGCCATCAGGACAAGACCACAGGAACCAGATGAGTCATCCGCACAATCTGACTTTGCTGGAACAACCTGCTGGTAGGCCTGTCGCAATAATCAATATATCGACTTATCGCGCAATATATGTACATGACCTCAATCATTTTTGGTGACGCAATATATCGCCCATTATATTTACTTAAAAATTAATGTCACCAGGTTTTGTACACTCCACTTGCGCCTGTGTCTTCTCATACATAATGTGGTGTAGTCATGAGGTGCTAGTTCAAATTAAAAAAATGCTTTTACAAAAAAAGTTTCATGTGCAGATATGGACTTGTTTAGGGATTTGTGCCTTTGTGCATACAGACATCTGACTGCCTACTGAATCACTACTGAAGTAGTGATTGTGTTTTTCAGCAATAGTGTGCACCCTTAATTTACAGAGAAAAGAAGGTCAGGAAAAAAATCTGTAGATGGAAAAATCTCCATACAAGTTCTTTGTGCATTTTTCTTTTTTTCTACTTGTTACTTTGCACTTTCTGTTAGAAAATGTTTATTTACTATTTATTCAGGTTTTTTAAGGTATCTAATATTTTGATACTTAATTTCCATGGTCTAAATATTCTTAAAAATTAAAGGTTTGTTGTTATTTGGAAGTGTGTAGGCCTTCTTGAATTATTATGCTGTTACATTATGATTATATATTCTGTGGCATAAAATGGTCTTTAAAATGACAATAATATCGCTTATCGCAATTATTTCTGGGGCAATATATCGCACAACAAAAAGTTGTTATCGTGACAGGCCTACCTGCTGGTTCGTCTGGTCCCCCGACTGAGCCTGGTTTCTCTCAAGGTTTTTTTCTCCATTCTGTCACCGATGGAGTTTTGGTTCCCTGCCGCTGTCGCCTCTGGCTTGCTTAGTTGGGGACACTTACTTTCCAGCGATATTGTTGACTTGATTGCACAGATTCTATTTAAACTGAACTGAGCTGGATGATGGCATCACTGAATTCAATGATGAACTGTCTTTAACTGAAAATGTAGTGTTTACTATTGTCCTTTTGCATGATTGACACACTATTTTCCTATTTAATACTGTAAAGCTGCTTTGACACAATCTGTATTGTTAAAAGCGCTATATAAATAAAGGTGACTTGACTTATTTTTGTTGTACAGTTGAGTGTTTTGTGATACATTTTAGTTATTTAGTTCATGTTTACAGCATTATTTTCAGTGTCTCTGATCATTGTTCATGGTTGCTAGTGAACCCAGTGATGCTGAATAATACATGTAGTCATGTGGCCTTCTATTCTACCACCTGTGTCATCATCAGTACGTTTTACAGTAACAGATTTCATTAGCTCAAATATAGCCTATTGGCATATTAACATTACCTGAGTTAATGACAAAATGTTTCACAGTGTATAGCCTCGCAGCCACTCGCGCTGTTGAGATGCTGGTAATGGAAAGAAAAATCATTCATTTGATAGTTATAAAGTCGACAGGGGAGGAGGAAGCGCGGCCGGCGACATTAATAGCAGCTACATCATCTTCCGTTTCAGAGAGAAAAAACGGCAAACGCACGAACGAACGTCGGAAAGCATGTATACCACTTAGACTAGCGGCCTTTAATTTATAATGAAGTTCACGTTGCTCTGCTGCGAACGTTCTCAGCGCGAGAGTGCTTCTCATACAAATGAGATCCGAGCGCGCTCGCTCGCTCACTCCCTCGCGCTCTCTTTGACGTAGTCAGCCAGCTGGGCTCCGGCGTTCCAGCGCAGTACGTGTGGCGCAACGTTCCCAGCCACCCTTCACATTTCATCCGGTCTAAATTACGGTTTATCCTGAAAATAGGCACCCTGACACATCTGTTTACGTGTCATGTTTTTTTTTTTCAAACAGGGGCCAGAGACTTCCGAGAAGTAAAGCTGGCCCACACAGCTCTTATGAAATAACGGATTTCATCTTTTTTTTTTGTTTTTATCCGCTGGAGACGAAGAATCACAGTGTTACTATAGGAGCAGCTTTTATCGGCGTGCCTTTCTGCCTCACCGGCATCCTGTAACCACGAAGAGGATGCGAGCGGCGGTCTCGTCGGTTATTGGTTATTTTTCGCATTGAATTCCGCAGTGTTATCTTTTGGGAACGTCGAAGAGGTGGATGCCAGCGCGCGCAACCGATTAATAGCGCGTGTTTCCCATGGCGCTGTCATTCACTTTCGCCAGTCGCGTCGGTGCTTAATGCCGGCGAAGGTGTGAGGGAGGAGACCCGCTCTGGAGGTTTGATGCTCGTCCTCCTCATCTGTCACAGCTTTATATCTCCGCCTAGACCAATTTGGTGTAAACATCTACATTGAATTGGCAAGAAATGACTAGCGAGACATCTCTGACTGACAGACACTACTTCAGCTGTTTCTTGATGATACTGTCACGCGAGCTGGGAGATTTGGACTGCACGTACTGCCTTCAACTGTTCGCCGCCTGAGGAGCTGGATATGTTCAGACTAACGTGAAGATGGATATTATCTTTGCTCTCCTGTGGTTATTGGCCGCACTATTTGAAGGCGTTTTTTGCCAGGGAGTATACGGTAAGACAAACAGACGTAGCGGCTACGTACAATAGTCTTTACGGGGCTGTCGTGACCTTGCGAGGTAGATGGTAGATGTGGATGTTAATTCACAATAATATCCAGTGTGATGTAGGCCCTATAGCTTACATGTCAATTGACAGTTCCTGCGTTACAGGTGCATTGTGGGGCATCAGTAGCCTGTGGTCACGTATAGCTGCCTTCTATGAAACATGATGCCAGGCGGGATGGCTGATACAGATGGGACGTGTTGAAATATCATTATCACTAGGAGATGCATTGCTTGAGCAAAGCATAAAGATCTGTGGCCATCACTGTGTAAACGTTACTGCAAAGTATGTATGGGGCTAGTTGTCACAAGGGCTACACTGTATGTCAGTTTAGTGAATAATTTTGTATCATTCATAACTGTATATGTCATTAAATTATATTATGTTGATGAGTCAGCGTATTTAAATAAAAAATCTGCATGTTACTGAACTGGCTGATACAGTTAGCTAATGACACAGGTGGTACAAATGAAATGACCCATAACAAAAGTGGCCGTTTTATCAGCTGTGGACATTGCTAAAGACAGAACAGTTTTACCAATACAATGCACTCGGATTAACACATAACACAAAAATTAACCAATTAAGTCTATTATTACATTTGAACAATATTTTATCATAAAATAATTAATACTTTCCACTTATAAACAACATAATTTTAATAATAACATATTGCCTTGATTATTACGAATGTTTAAAAAACATTACCTTTTAACAATATTTTGTAAAAATGCATTGTAGACTGTTGTTTTTAATGTAATACCATTGTAATATATAATATTATATAATCTGCAATGTAATATCACAGTATTTTTCTACATTTTTTAGTCACAGTAAAGTTTTGAATAAAAATATCAATTACAAGTTTCAGAAACTTTCTCTAGTCCAGAAACCTCTTAAAACAGAATAATTTTATGAATTTTGTCCTTTTGAAAATTCTAATATCATCAATAGCTGTTTTATAGTCGAGCATTTAACCTCAGTCTTCCATAATATTTCAGTGTCATTTCTTATTAACATAATATTTTAATGCTTGAGGACTAATTGACAGTGCCATTTCATATTTATTTATTGTGCTGTCAGAGGCAATCAAGGACATCATTTTAATAGTTGTCATTGTTTCAATGTAAAGAGGAGCCATGAAATGTGATGTGTGATTAAACAGTAACAGGACATATGATGTGAGGTTATTAAATTTCATTTGACAGAATTGTATGTAGGTTAAACTGCTCATGTCAACTGTTCATTCTGTCATAGAAACCTACAGTTCAGCGTCCTTCTGCCTACGGAATATTACAAAGGGATGCTCATAATGGGATGAAGGCTATACCTATAAAGCACTGACTGGGAAATCTATTTCACCTGACGTCACGTGGATTACAATGATAGATTTGCTGTTACTTAATGGAAGACTGTTTGGATTAGTAACAAAGAAAATAAAGGGAGGAATCAGTGCATATGACCACCTGATTTAGGCTAATTTTTGCTAGAGGTTTGTTGAAAACACCTGAAGCCAAGCACGTTTGGACTGAGGTGGAACTCAAAATGCACATTTCTCCATTTATTAATATTGCAGAATCCATGATGTTCCTATAGGAGGCAGCTGGTAATAACTTCAGGCTATTCTTTTCATTTTGCTTATACAGATTACATGGATGTCTTCTATTCATTATGGCACAAAGCCATTTGTCAGTGTTACTCACTGGATGTGTTTATCTAGGGTCTGTGATATTTACAGTAGTTGACATTCAGTGGTCAAATGGTGTGATTATGTTCATGTTTCACAGTTTGTTGGCTTATGTTCTATTTGTGAGGGGCATATGAACAAACAGTTGATTCCTGTGTAATGACCTGTGTAAATGTGGGACTGTTGTGGGCAGTACTTCACTTCTAGAAGCTGGATGCTAGTTCATGCCCTCTTAGTTTACGCCATGCTCCATGGTGAATCATGAGGGGTTTTTGAACATCAGATTTATACGTACTGTTAAGTAGACTTGCATGGATTCTGCACTTGCAGAATGCTCCACAGATTTCAACAGGATTTAAACAGCCGTCGTTCACAAACTTATACATATCCTCCACCCCTAGCATGTTTATCATTAAATGTTTTGGATTATATGACATGTTTACCAAGAAAAGAATTTCACCATTTTAATTCTGTAGTTGGAATTTGAATTGAATTGACCACACCTCACATGAAGTTAAATTGGAATTTAAATTGGAATGACAGGAAGAATAATTTAACACAGCTAATCAGGGCTCTAGACCCATTCTTCCCACTGGTCGCTCTTTTGCGACTAACTTTCTCAGTTGGTCGCATGAGCACATAATTTGGTCGCAATTATTATTTTTTTATTTATTTTATTATTATTTTATTTTTTTTGCTACAATATGGGATTAATCAATGCATGCTGGTGAACTTTTATCATAGTTTATAGATATATGGTAACGAAAGTGTTCAACATTCAAACCGTTCTTATTTGTGATTTAAATTTTGTGAACCGGAGTTCTTCTTTTGCTATGTTATAAGCCGGGCTTCAGATGCTTTCACTTTCACTTTCGATCTTGGTGTCACGTTTTACAAGAAAAGGTAATTGTCTGTTTTTCTCATATCTATAGGCTACACCTTTCACATTTAAAGACTAAAACAAAAGATGGATTCATTGTTATTCTTAATTAAAAAGCACAACAACAAGAAAACAGTAGGCTACAATGACAAACTATCTTACATAACCTTTATTAACAAAAATGAATAAGATGAGGCGTGGCATATAGGACTACACCACATGCTGTATTATATACTGACTAATAAATTACAGAATGTTTAGCAAACACTGAGGAATCAAATAAATAAAAAAAAAAGAAAGAAAGCCTCCATAGCGCAACGTGAGGTAAACAGCAAAAGATAACAAGCTTTTCAAAATGAAAACAAAAAGAAAAGTAAAACTAAACTTGCTGTCGGTGACAATGCTTGCCTGTTTTTTTCCCACAAGAATACCAACATGTTCATCTTCTCTGGTTTAAGAAGTGGTCTTTTACTTTACTTTAGCTTGAAAACCAAATCCTCCATCTGCCATCATTTCCTGCATATTCGCATAATTTTTGCCACGCTCGTGCTGACGAAATAATAAGAAAGTATTATATTACCTTGGCATTAAATTACAGAAATTGGAGCAAATGGGAACACAAATATTATATTTGTTGTAGGTTCACCATTATTACCCAACTATGATGACCCCGAAAATGTGAAAAAGGCCTGTTCTGTAGATTTTCCACAACAAACAACAGTACAAAAAAAAAAAAAAAGGATAAAGGTCCCTTAATTCTATAGAGTCTTGGATGGATTTTAGCAGGTTCTTACTTCGTAAGGTGGTACTGTAACTGTCATTCAAAAGCATTGTGGAGTGGTCATACACCTTTTCAGTGTTGGACAATAGTTATAGCTCTTTTGCATTTTGTCTTTTCTAACTTAACAATTTTTTGTTTTGTATTGTTTATTTGAAATATTAATTATAAAAATGTCTTAGCGACAGCGTGTTTTACTTGTTCTTTTCTTCAAATACTGTATGCTTAACTCATATCAATCTCCAATTAAAGTAATGTTGCTCCTAGTGTTCCCATGACAGCTTTTTCTTTTTTTCCCCTTGTTGAATTTGCCTGATCAAAGGATTTGTTAACGGAACTTAGCTTTGTGCTTCTTACACTGATTTTATAATCAAATAGAGCAAATATTAAGAAGGCCGCTGTTACGTATTGGTGAACAGAGATTACATTTTTTTAATTTTTTAAATAAACTTGTTTTCCTTGGTTTCAAAATTAATAAGAATTACTTCTCAGTCAACTCTAATGAAGATGCCAACTGGAAAGACTGCACTGGTTTGATGCAAAATCACATTGTCCCACTGGATGAATGTTTTATAGAACAGCGAGACTAATGCACTATATTACAACATCCCAACAGGCCACTTAGGCCGCAAAGAAAAGAGGGCTCCAATAGTAAGACATCTAAGAGGTCGATAAGCTTTTAGTTCATGTAATGCAGTACAACTGTTAGTGCACTGTTGGATCTAATGTCAGCATGTTTTGATTGGAGATATATGGATATTTTTCTAATATTTATATTCTTTTTACCCTGTGTGATGGCTCTCTGTTTCATGTTTAATATGCAGCCCTTCCATTAATTTCAGCCTCATATCTACACAGACAGTCGACTAAGTGGTCAGCTGATAGTATCACACACTTCAGCTAAATGCTTCCGTTCTCTGCTTTTCCAGTGTTAATCCGAGCTGCTAATATTTAAGTGTTTTTTAGCTTCTAGATCCCATCTGTCCATAGAAGATTTGCTTATATTTTACCAACACTGACAGAATAATCAAATGCATTCTGGTTATCTGACCACAACAGACTGCTTTAGTTTCATTGTACATTGGGTCAGACATTGTTATTAAGACTGGACCCTTCAGAAACGGAGATCAGGCACTAATTTTACTTACATTTTTCTACATCTGAAATGTATCCTATGGTTGCATACTGTCTGTTACTGTTGTATAATATTGGACTTTGTAAACTGGAAGTATATTTGAAATGGTGGGGGTGGATGAAAATGGCATTCATATATACATTATGACTCAGTGTTAAACGGAGTTCGCCAATTGCCTGTGACGGTTTCCTCCAGATTGGACTGACCACTGTGAAAGGGCCATTCTCAGTTCCTCTGGCTTCTACTGTAAATAATTCACACCTCTTACAAGCAGCCACCTAAAGGACTATAGAAATTGTTGTACAATATTCAAGATGCGTTTGCATTTCCTGTGGTATTTCTGGAGGGGAGGGTTGGGGGAACGGTTGAACTCGAGAATGGTGTTGAGGTGTGGCATGTTATTGCTGCCATGCAGATCTTCATGTGATTGGTCTTATTGTGCAAATAAGCTCAATTACTCCTCTCCCTCT